CAGCGGCAGCCGCGGCGGCAGCGGCAGCAGCGGCAGCCGCAGCGGCAGCAGCGGCAGCCGCAGCGCCAGCAGCAGCAGCGGCAGCGGCAGCGGCGCCAGCGGCAGCAGCAGGCGGCAGCAGCCGGGCGGCAGCCCCACCTGCGTGTGCAGCAGCTCCAGCTCGCTGCAGAAGTCTGGGGGGAAGAGGTCGTGGCGGGTGGCGGCCCACTGGCCCCACTTGATGAAGGCTGCGGGGCAGGCAGGGGCAGGCGGAGGCAGGGTGGGCAGGGCAGGTGTGTGGGGCGGCAGACCTGGCGGTCGCACCGGCGTGTGGTGGGAGCTGCATGCGCAGCTGCTGCATGCGCGTGTTGTGTGCGCGATGCGGATGCGAGTGTAGCAGCGCGGGCGGCGGCGTGGGTGCCGAGGCGTGCAGAGCGGGGCGTGGCGGGCCACCAGGGGCCGCCTCGCCGCCTCGCCTCAACCCCCCAGCAAGCACACGCAGGTCCCGTGCCGCACCTGGCCCCGCGCGCTCCAGCGTCCACCTCAGCAGGCGCAGCCAGCGGGCGCGGGAGATGCCCAGGAAGTCTCCCACCAGCGGCGCGGTGAGCACCACGGGCGCAAACAGGGCCAGCAGGCAGGCGAGGCGGAGGAGGGAGGCGGCGGCGCGGCGCGCGCGCTGCAGCGCCGACAGGCTGCCGCCCTCCTCGGCCGGCTGCTCGCACAGCTGCTCTTCCGACTGCGGCGGGCGGAGAGGAGAGAGGAGGAGAAGGGAGGGGAAGGGAGGGAGGAGCGAGGCTTGGGAGCGAGCGGATGATTGGGAGGCAGGGAGGGTTGGGAGGCAGGCAGCGGGCGGGTGTGGGGGATGTGGCAGCAAGCTGCTGGCAAGGCAGGCCGGCAGGCGGGCATGAGAAGGCAACGCCAGTGCGATCGGCAGCGGCGCCGCCGCCGCACCTCTGCCACAGGCGTGGAGTAGCACCAGGCGAAGCGGGGGTCCCCCCGGGTCACCCGCTCCGCCAGAAGCAGCAGCAGCGACTTGCTCCAGTTGGGCTGCGGGGCAGGCGGGCAGGGCAGGGAGGCGGGCGGTTGCGACCCGCGACGAGGCGGCTGGCGGCCGCGGCGTCGGCGTCGGCAGCAGACCACGGCCGCTGGCTGGCGAGCCCAGAGGCACCTGCCCCCACACCAGCACCATGCAGGCATCGCGCTTGCTGGCACCGGCCCAGCTGTGTGTGGGCTGCCATGCTACATGCCATGCTGGCACAGCCTCACCTGCATGTACACGGCGTTGAAGAAAGCCTCCCGGGCGTGGTACCCCCTGCCCAGCACCCACTCCAGCCGCTGCGCCAGCTGGCGCCGCGCCGCCGCCCAGCGCGACGGCAGGTAGGCGCCGCCCGCCCAGCCGGCGGCCGCGGCCGCGGCGGCAGCTGCCGCGGGCGGCAGCCCGGTGCCGCCCCGGCCGCGCCGCGACGCCCGAGTGCCGAACTCGGCTCTCAAGCGAGGCCGCGGCAGCGGCTTGGCGCCGCCAGCTGCTGCCGTCTGCCAGCCCGGTGCAGGCTGGCGCAGCCAGCGAGAGGCGGGGGCGAGGTGCAGGCCGCGGCTGCGAGCTGGCAGCAGCCCCGGGGCGAGGCCCCGCCCGGAAGCGGTGGCACCCGCACAGCTCGCCACGCGCTGCAAGGCTGCGCACCCCGCGCCCCCACCTTGCAGCGCCCTAGCGCATGCTGTGCTGACTAGCCGCCGCTGCGCCGGGGAGGCGTGGTGCAGACCGCAGGTCCGGGCCGCAGCGCTGCACCAGGCAGCGACAAGGCTGCCACCGCTGCCGGCGCCGGCACACGCAGCAGCGCCTGTCGCCGCGCCGCGGCCCGAGGTGCTGGCTTCCGCTGCTAGCAGCTCGCCAGCCAGGCGCAGGCCGCGCAGCTGGCTGCCTGCAGCTCGCCGCATGCTGGCTCCAAGAGGTGCAGGCTGCGGCTACCGCCTGCGAGGGCAGCGGCAGCGGCGGCGGGAGGTGAGGTCGGCAGCCAGATGGCGGGCTCGCCCCACGCCCAATCAACATGACGACTTGCTTCAAGACGGCCCCGCACAGCCGCCAGGCGTCCTCCCAGGCACACAGCATGGGGTGTGTGGTCAGCTTCGCACCTGGCGGCCTGGCCACTCAGAGTTGCTGCCATTCAAGATCCTACTGGCGCTCCAGATCTGCTGGGAAGGCGTGGAGGGAGGGTGCGCTCCTGTGGGGTGTGCCAATCTCTGTGCTTGGGGTGTGTGCGGTGGCTTCAGCCCAGGGGTGTCTGCTTGAGAGACAGATCAACAACCTCGGCGGGCGCGCAAGCGAGTCCATGGGGTGATGCTTTGGCGCCACAGCGCAGCGTCAGCGCCGGCGGGGTGGCGGCTCCTGAGCCTCAATGCTCGGCGGCAGCGTCTTTGTCAACGGAGCTTGTCTCCATCATTCTGCCTACCAATTCCTACCCCCTGTTCACCCCCTCTGGCCGGCTCTGCGAAAGGCCACCCAAAGTGAGCCCGGCCAGGGCAGCTGCAGCAGCGGAGTGCATGAGCCCTCCTGATGCGCAGCGCCCGATCTTTGACTCATGATGCACACCTCCCAGTGCCCCAGCTGCTGCTGCCATTGATATTGACCACATCCAGCGGCGCCAGTCAACGGGCATGCTGCCTGGTGCATGGTGCTCCGTGTGCGTCATCTGCTGGAACCACGGAACCACCGCAAGCTGGTGCTGCAACCCGCAGCAGCTGCTGGGAACAGGTGCAGTGGGCGGCTGGCTGGTGCCCTCCAGTCAGGCCGCGCCGACTGGTCCAGCGCCTGCCGCCAGCGGATGCAGATGACCAGCAGGGGCGGCGGTCACCGGCCGGGGCGGGGGGCCACATGTGTGCGTCCAGACCCAGCGCTTCTCGCGTTGCTCTGTCGGTGATGGTGCCTTCTTTCTGACTGCATCGGGGTCGCTCCATGGGCATGCTATGAATCGTCCCTCATGTCACGGCATGTCATGTCCGAAGCGGCCGACCAACCAGGAGAACGAACAAACTCTCTCGTTTTGCGGCCTGTATCGAGCCACTGAGGACACTGCGACCGTGGAGAGGCCACTGCAGCCGCTGCGCCACAGTTCCGAGATCGCTGCAGGGCATATCCTCCAGGAGTCTCGCCATCATGAACAAAGGGGCCGCAATTCTGGCGCTGATTAGCCTCCTGGCCACCACAGCCTACGCCGCTGATGACAGCGTCGAGGCTGCAAAGGTGTGGGCCGCCCCGTCCCGCCCGGGCGGCCGCGCAGCGCACGCCGCCCGCCTCAGGCTGCCGACCCACCCCTCGCCCTTGTCGCAGACGTTGGTGTCCCCCAAGGTTCCCAAGCCCAACCGGCTCTACAAGTACTACACGGCCTGGCCGGTACCCATCCCAGTGCGCAAGTACACAAAAGCGCTCTTCACTTGCAAGGTAGGTGCGGCATGGCACGCCGGTACAGGCAGGCTGGGGGCGGGGCGCTGCCTGGCCTGTTGCTGCGCTTCCCACTTCCCGCCAGGGCGCCTCCCTGCAGCAGGCGCCGACAGCCGCTCCCCTGCTGCGCGCCGCCGCCGCTGCAGGGCCGCTATGCGCTGTGCTCCTACGCCACCTGCGTCATCATCCCCAACAGCGTCCCCCCGGTGGCAGAGTGCGGCTGCTACGACTTTAACAATGTCAACCTGGGGGCCGGGCCGGGCGTGCTGCAGGCCCGCGCCACCCCGCCCAAGCAGGCCTGGCGAGCCGCCGTCTCACGCCTGCCCGCCCGCCTGCCGCCCCGCTGCCGCAGCTCCAGGAGCGGGTGATCAAGGCCTGCCCTCGCAGGGGCGCCAAGTGCCTGAAAGACACCAACTCCGCCCCGTTCTGCAACCAGATGAACGGCCACTTCATGTACCCGTGAGCGCCGGCCAGCAGGCAGCAGGCGGCCACCCGCAGGCTGCTGGCGCGGCCAGGCGGCGCGCGCCCCAGGCACACTGCCAGTGGGATGTGTATCCTCTGGCTCCCCTCCCACCCGCACGCTGGCCTCCCTCGCCCCTCACCCGCCGCCGCCTGGCCTGCTCCTGCTGCCTGGCAGGGGCTACAAGCTCGTCTCCACCTACAACCCCGATGACTGGGCGGTGGCCACCAACCAGTCTTCCGCCGACCACAAGCCCAAGTGGTGCCCCGGCGGCACCTTCACCAACTGCTTCTCCGCAGCCTGCCGGCGCCGCGCACCCAGCTTCGGCATCGTTGCCCCGGTCGGTGAGTGCGCGGCGGCGGCGGCAGGCGGCGTGCGGCGGCGGCGTCAGCAGCAGGGAGGAGCTGCCTGGGGTGCCTCCGGCACGCACACCGCGCTGCGCGCCATGGCATGTCTGCCTGCCGTTCTCCCACGCCCGACCCTGCCCGCCCACCTGCCGCCGCTCGCCCGACCCGTGCAGGCCAGCCCCCCTACAACGCCACCTGCTACTGCCCCTACACCGTCACCAAGCGCCGCTTCCTTATGGGTTCCGCCAGCAGCCCCTGCGGCCCCACATCCCGCAAGGAGCTCCTGTCCGACCCCACCACACTCATCTACAACGGCCTGTGATGCAGCACAGAGCACAGAGCACGCAGCCGCCCACCCACAGCGCTGGTACACTCGCTGCGTTAGCTCACGCTTTCAGACGCGTGCTTTGATAACCTATCTTAACTCTTCCCACACAGCACACAAGACCACCACCTGCCACCCGCCCACACCTGGAACAGGCTGCTAGCTGCAGCTGGACTCCCTGCCCAATTTCCTCCAAAACCTTCTCCTTTCTCCAACGCATGTTGGCGTACGGCAGTGTCATTCACTGTAACCCTCCTGCCCATCATGGTATTTCTTCAAAAGCTTTCAACCCATGTAACCGTTAGCGACCCACAGCAAGCAGCAGGCTGCCTGGGATACAGCACCTGCTCTGGCCGCGGCAGGATCCCGTCCCGTCAGGCTGCTGTGTCCTGCTGCCATGCTGCTGCCATCGCCTTGTGCTTTCGTGCGTCAGCTCAGCCAAGAGGCAGGAGATCAGTCAACACCATGGCCACGCTGCCGCACGCCTGCTCAGCTGGAGCCGGCGGCAGGCCAGCAGCACCAGCCTCGCAGCGCTGGCCGGCAGAGCCGCCCAAGCCGCTGTCAGCAACAGCTGGCTGGGGCCCTGTCAAAGGAGTGGCGGGGTGCAGGCTGAACTGTGTGTGTGCTTGCCTTTGGACTGCAGGAGGGCAGACGCAAGCCAAAGGACCCCTGCCTGCCGCCTTGGCATCTCCCTGCCCGCCTTCCCACCTCCCTCCCCTCGTCCAACCTAGTGCCTGGTGCGGGCCTTCCCCTCGTCCTTCCTACGTCGATCGACATTAAAAACGTTTGGGCTGTACAAATGGTGAGTCAAGTCACGACAACTAAAAACAAATTCAGTGTGCCTCGGCGGCAACTGGGTACGGCTGTTTTTGGTGTGCGGCCAAGGCTGGCTCGCGAGACCTCCACAAAATCCAAGCCCTCTTCGTTGTGCGGTGGTGCGTCTCAGGCGGGCTGCGCAGGTAAGCGGCAGCCGCCAGTCAGGGGGTCGGCCTGGCGTGGTGCTGCGCCCCAGCGGGGGCTGGGGGTGGGGCAGCGCCGGGCCAGCGCTCGTCACGGTACTGATGACCAATGTGTGTCATGGACCCAAGAGGCAAAAGGGAGGTGGTGTTGCTGAGGAAGGGGAGTAGTGGGGGAAAAGGAGACGGGACACTTGTCGAGTAGCGATGTTGATCATCCGTTGGGGGAGGAGAAGAAACCCTCAGGCACAAGAAGCAAGGAGGGGCAGCAGGAGCATAGCAAACTGTTCAAGCAGAATCGTTCATGGTGATCCTAGGGAAGGGGCGACGGTGGACAACAGGGGACGGGGGTCGGTGCTGTGCGGCGGGAGGGCGCCGGTGCAGACGGGGTACAGGTGGCGCCTCCGCGGGGCTGGGTTGCCAAAAAGCCAAGTGTTGGTTGCTGCAGAGAGTACAGTGTGCTGATAACAGCTGCCAACTGGGGCGAGGGGCAAGGCGGCAAGGGGCAAGGGGAGGGGCACAGCGGACTGTTGATCGTCAATCAATGTTGTGGGGCAGTTGTTGTGCGTGGGGGTGGGGGGTGTGCAGAGCCTGCCAGGTGGCAGAGCGAGGGTGGGGGTGGGCGGGTGCCGCATGTTGGCACCAAAAAAAAAATGGCTTGGCGTGGGCGGTGGGCCGGCACGGCGGCGGCGCCGGGGAGGGGCCAGGGCGGCTTTGCAGCCACCCGCGCCCCGCCAGGCGCCGCCGGCACGCGCAGCGCATGGGTGTCGCCGCCCCGCGCTGCATGGAAGCACAGAGGGTTGCCCGGAAGGACAGGGCAACGCAAGCAAGCTCAGAAAACCATTGGTGTGATAGAAAGAAAGGCGTCGGGGCGGGGGCCGGGGTGCGTGCCAGCAACGGGCGGCTGAAAAACGCGCCTCCGTGCTGCACGGCCCGCCGGCTGCCGCACGCGACGTGATGAAATAAGCATGCGTCTTCCTTGGGGAAGGGGGTGCTGCGCCGAAATCAGTGGGGAGAGTAGTGTGGGTTTAGGGTCTGCCTAGGGCATAAACGGGTGTGGGGTGGGGACGGCCAAGCAAGGCCGCCTGGCCCCCGAGGGCCGTGGTGGATGGTGGAGCTGCCTAGTGGGTAGGGCTGGGAGCGCAAGGAAAACGGCACAAAACTGAGTGGGAAGTAATTCATGGAGAGAGAAGGGGAACCATGATGATAGGGAGCTGGAAAAAGGGAACAGGCAGTGCTGGGGCTGTATGGGCAAACGGAGGCGCGCGCCTGCCCGGCCTGGCAGCGTAGCCGGCCGGGGCGCGTGCCCTGCCTCTACTGGTACTTGCATGCAGCCTAGTGCCCAGCCGCTCACAGGGTCAGGCGGGAGCGCAGACCGTCGGCAGCCTCCTGCAGCGCAAGCGGAGGGCGGCAGGGCGGGCCAGGGCGTCAGCCAGGGGCCTCTTTGCAGCGGCAGAGCCGCTTGCGTGCACGCCAGCAGCCGGGCACGAGCACGGCAGCGTGGCCCAGCAGCATGCGGCAGCGGCCCCCCGGCCCACAAGAGGCCCTTTGCACCGCCCCACCCGCACCTGCAGGAGGAGGCTGGAGGTGGGGATGGGCAGGCTGTCTGGCGTGGGGCTGTTGGTGAACGCGGGGCCCGCAAACTTGCTGGAGGGGGCGGCGGGGGCCGCCTTGGTGCCCTTGGCGGGCGTGCGCAGCGCCGAGGCCGCGGCCGGGGCGCGTGCGTGGGTGGCGGCGTGCTCGGGGCGCTTGCGCGGCGGCGACGCGCGCTGGCTGCCGCCGGAGGGGGCGGCGGCGCGTGCGGCCACCTCGCGCTGGTGCTTCTTGCCGCTGGCGGGGCGTGGCTTGCGCGCGGAGCTGGCCTCGGTGTCGGAGGAGGAGCCGGCGGCGGCGCCCTTGCCGCCAGACGAGGCGGCAGAGGCGGCGGGCTTGCCGCGCTGGTGCTTGGCTTGCACCACCTCGGCCTCCTTCTTGGGCGGGCTGCTGGCCAGGTGGGCGCTGGAGCGCTCGTGGGCGTGGCGCTTGAGGCCGTGTTGCAGCGCAGCCTGGGGCTGCTTGGGCACGGTCAGCGGCTTGGTGGCCGCGGGGCGGCGGCCCGCCTGCAGCGACTGGAAGCTGGTGGCAGAGGCATCCGACGAGTCGAAGAAGGGCACCAGGGTGCGCTCCTGCGCGGGCAAGGTGTGGGGCACAGGGGGACAGTCGGGGGCGGAGCCAGGACGGGGCACGGCGGCAAGCGGCTCGCAACGGCCGCCCTGCGGCGCTGCAAGCCTGCTCCCGAGAGCGTGCAGAGAGCAGGCGGGCCCGGGAGCAGGGCAGGGGCGGCGAGGCTCGAGGAGAGGGGCATCTCACCTTGAGGGCCTCGGTGGGCACCTCCTTGCGCTGGGAGGCGGCGATCAGCTTGTCCAGCAGGTGGGCCTGGTCGCCCTTGAAGCTGTGCACCTGCAGGGCGAGCGGGGAGGGCGGCGTTTCGGCCAGCCCCCGCAGCCCACACGTGCGCCTGCCAACAACAACCCTGCGCCCTCCCCGCCCCCGGCCGCCGCCTCCTGCAAAGCCCCTTGCCTGCATGCGTTCGTGGTGGGCGGGCTGCAGGACGAGAGTGGCCATTCTTGGGAAGCAAGCGCGTGGGTGTGGAAGGCGGCAAACGGGGGCGTGCTGGTGCCGTGCCGGGGCTTCTGAGCGGTCAGAGCGTGCGGGAAGGGAGGGCGCGGGGGTTGCAGTGCGAGTCAGAGGGGTAGCGTCCAGAGGACTTGGGAGCGGCAGGCAGAGGGAGTCAGAGGTTGTTGTTGGTGGCCCAGGGGCCCTACAAAGGTACTATAGCAGGCGCGAGGCCGCAGGCCGCCACGAAACTCCCCGAGAGGCGGCCGCGCCTTCCACCTCCAGAGCCACATCAGGCAGCAGTTGGGTTTGCGGCTCCCCGGTCTCCCCGCCGCGCCCATTTGGCTCTTGGCGTCAGCCCCGACTCATTTCACGCCCAGGGGGCGTGCCGCGCCGGCAGCAGAACCCTAGTGCCCCCGCCATCTGGCGGGTGTCGGGGCGCGCCTTGGTGGGCAGCTCTTCCGCCTCCCGTGATGGCAGGAACGGGCTTGTGGAGACGGCTGATCGCTGCCGGGCTGCCCACCGACACCAGCGTGTGGTCCCTTACGCGCACGCCCACTCCGGCTTGCGGCGGGAAGGACCCGCCACACCCCACAAAGCTCGTTGGGCCAGTCTGCTCCCGCCAGTCCCTAACCACACGAAGCCGCTGCAGCAGGTGTGCAGCGCTAGTGTGCACCTGGCTTTGTATTGCTGCAAACGCGCCTCTGCACCGACCTGCCATCGCTCGCTGGACACACCGTCGTACACGCTTAGCCGAGCTCTCGCCCTGCTGTGCTCTGGCTCAGCTTACAATCTGTGCTGGCACGTAGCCAAAAGATGTATCACGAGGGCAGTATCAATCAAAACAGGGAGGAGCTCAGACCTTGGTGTGGGCTCCAGACCCTGCCTGCCGCAGCTCGGGTGCCGCCAGCTCTGGCAGCTCCACGCGGTGCGTGGCCCAGCTCTTCATCTTGACAGCCAGGCTGCAAGCGTGCAGGAGGGCCAGGAACGCACATTTCAAACTCTGTGGCGTGAGCAACGTAGGGGGCAACGCGAAACAACGAAGCGCAGGCAGCTGGGCAAAGGATGGACCAGTGTTGCGCGTTGGCGGGTGCCAGGTAGGGTGCCAGGCAGGACCGGCGCGAGCGTACCTAACGGGCAGCACCTTCCACACAAAGTCCGGCAGCTTGGACAGCACCACCGCCGCCAGCTCGCGGGCGCCACCAGCACCATTGGCAAGCACTGCAGGGGGGCAGGGCAATCATCCGACGACGTTTCAAGGGGAGGATGCCAGCGGCAATAGGGCTGGTTGTGAGCCGCCGAATCCTTTGCCTCAGGCGTAGGAGAGGCTCGGCGGCAGACAGAAGCGGGCAACGCCAGCAGCACACTGGCGGCGCGCCAGGCCTGATGCAGCAGCACAAGCACAGCTCCCGCCGCTTTCCCACATGCCTTGCCAGGCGGCCGCTCACCCGTCACGCCCAGCAGGACGCATGCCCAGCTGAGCACACGTGTCACCACCGCCCCTGCCGTCTGTGGCAGCGCCTCGGCCAGGCCCAGCACGCCCACCAGCACTGCAGATGGCATATTGCATGTGTGGTGGTGGTGGGCTGATGTTCGGCAGCCCTGCCTGGGGCAGGTGTTCAGGCCCAGCAGGGGTGGCAGCAGGGGTGGCAGCAGGGGCGAGAGCACGCAGGCGGCAGCGGTGAAGCGGGAGAGCGGGCAGCCTCGGCGGAGCACCACCCCACGCACCGCCGGTCACCATGCTGCTCACTGCCGCCAGGGTGCACACGATCACTGCAGCACCGGCAGAGGTCCAGGGGCGTGTGTGAGCGGGTGAAGTGCACCGGTGGGCAACGCGGTGAGGCTGGGCTGGCAGATGACCAGGCCTTGCCAGCCCTTGCTTTCCCTCTGGCCTGCCAGCCCCTGCCGCAGCAAGCCGCCACGGCGGGCGGCCCCACTCTAGGCCAGCCAGCCAGCCAGCCAGAAGGGCAGCCAACTCGCCTGCGCTGCCTTCCTTGAAGCCACACGTCTGCAGCACAAAGCCGCTGCTGCTGAGCGTCACGCTGCCGCCCAGCCCCACCGCCACCCACAACTTGCTCAACCGCTGCGCCAGCAGGAAGCCTGCACGTGGAAGGGGGCAGGGACAGCAAGGTGGCATGGTGGTGCGGATGCTACAGATAAGAGGCGATGTTGTGTGCATGGTGGCCCAGATTGGCGGGCAGCTCCAGGTGCAGGCACCAACGTAGCGGCTTGGCTTGCCCCAAGAGCGCACACAGCATGCCAGCCCACACCCACCTATGCGGCACGACGCCGCGGACAGGCCGAAGCATGCTCCCGCCTGCAGGCCGTACGTCGCCGCCGTGGTCCTGTCGCCGGGGCGGCGCTGGCGGTGGTGGTGGCGCTGGCGCAGCAGCGACACGAGCAGCACGCCCGCCGACAGCAGCAGCACCACGCCCAGCATGCGGAACGCGCCGGGCTGCACCACCTGCCGAGCAGCCCCCGCCGCCTTGACGGCGGCGGCGGCAGCCGTGCCGCCAGCCCCGTCGGCGCCGGCTGCCGCCGCCGCGGCATCTGCGGCGCCGCCGCTGCCAGCAGCATCACCATCAGAGCCTGTGGCGCCCAGGCCTATGGTGCCGACAAAGGCCAGGGCCACCGCCCCCCACTCCAGCGCATGCATCTTTTCCTTGAGGAACAGGTGGCTGTACACCGCCAGGCCCACCAGGCCCACGCCGCTCACCGGCTGCACAATGGAGACCTGCAGAAGAACGGCGAACGGTGAGGCATGCGGGGAGGCAGTGGGGGTGGAAGCGGGAAGTGCACAGATGAATGGTGGATGCGTGGCAAGGTGGCGGCTGCTATGGAACGGCGACACGCAGCGGGGACAGCAGCCGTGCAATGCGCTGGCCAACTGTGCTGCTGCACGCAAGTGTCCAACCAGCCACCCCACCGCCTAGCCCACCCTCACCCCCCCGTGCCGCCTCACCGGCGCCAGCGCAAAGGCGGCAATCTGCAGGACGGCGCCCCCGACATCCGCTGCCAGCCCCGTCAGCCACACGCGGCTGTGCAGGTACTGCGCCAGTATCTTGCGGTCGGAGGCTGAGAAGCGCGGCAGGTGGCGGGTGGCCTCCTTCTGCAGCGCCTTGCCCACAGAGCAGCTGGTGGACGAGACGACTGTGATGAGTATAGCCAGCCAAATCATGGTTGCTGCGGCCCTGGCGGCTGCTCCGGGCAGCAGGAATGTGGCTCCACAGCTTCAGCAGCCCAACGCCGCAGGCGGCTGACGTCGTCCGCCACTGGCTGAGGCTTGCCGCCGCCGCCGCCGACGCCCTCGTGCGTGCAGCGGCGTGCAGGCCGGGTTCCGCCGCTGATGGAGACAAATCGTGCCCACACGCGCTTTGGCAGGCGGGTTTGGCCGGTGGCAACACCCCGGTTTGATTGGAGTGTGATTGGGAAGGAGCAGAAGGTCAGCTTCTTGCTGAGGATTCGGAGCACTTGATGTCAAGAGGTGGAGGGAATACAGCCCCGGCGATGCCGCAGACCCAGTATGAGTGGCCCTGTGTACTGCTGCGGCCAGCACATGCCCCTACGCCGCACTGGCGCCGATGCCACGCCGGTTCCGAGTGGCAGCGCTTCTCTACTAAACTCAGCTGGATGCATTACACTGCTGCATGGCCCTTGCATGGCCATGCCATGCATCCGGCCTGACGTGAGATCGCACAGGCCCAGGCTGCGGGCGCTTGGGAGCGGGGGCGGCCCCGCCGCGCGCCGGCCGCTCAGATGAGGCCCGGCCACACCAGGCACATGTCCGCCCAGGGCACCCACTTGAGGGGCGCGGTGAGCAGCAGCGCCAGGAAGATGGGGGAGCGCCACCAGTCGTCCCACAGCACCCAGGCATACCACAGCGGCACCGCCACCGCCGCCAGGAAGCTGACGGGCATGAAGGCCTCGTACACCACCGTCACCACAAAGTCTGCACGGGGGCAGCCAAGGGAGCGGAGGGACGCGGGCAGGTGAGGTGGTGCGCTGTAGGCGGTGGCGAGCCTCGCAGGCGTGACGGGCGGCGGCAAGCACAGGGCCGGGCACCGGCTTGGGCGAACGAACACGGCACGCGTGGCGGCAGGAGGGCTGCGTGCAGGCGGCAGGTCTGATGGAGGCATGCTGCCGCGGGCGGAGCGCCGGCGCAGGCATCGCAGGGGCGAGGTCTGGCGGGCGGGCGGGCGGCCGGCTGTGCTCACAGGCCAAGAAGGGCGGCGCCTGGCTCCACCAGGCCAGCTCCTTGCCATACACGTTGCTCCACCGCCACTGCCGCTTGGTCTCCTCAACCAGAAACTCATTGTACCTGCAGGCAGGCGGTACAGGCAGACAGTACAAGCAGGTCAGCCACACGGCGGGAGGGAGGCGCGGGGGCACGGCAGCCTGCCCCGGCGGGCCAGCGCCGGCATGGGGCAAGGTGCTGGGACCGGCTGGTGGGCTGTGCGGCACGCGCATGTGGATGTGCAGGCGCAGCAACCCGCGGCTGGCGCCGTGCCGCCGCTGCTGGGCAGGGGCCCTAGGGCCAGCGCCGCTCACACTTCCAGCAGCGCCTCCCACTTGCGCTGCAGCAGCTCCCAGGCGGCGTACAGGGGCTGCAGGCGCGCGCTCAGGGCCGCCACCGCGTGCACCACGGCCGCCACGGGCGGCGCTTCGCTGCGGGGCAGGCGGGCCAGGGCCGGGTGCTGGTGGTGAATAGGGTGCGGCTCGGCACAGGGCGCGGAGTCGTCGATCCCGGAGGCTGCTGGCACAGGTGGGGAGCCGAACGCCAGGCTGGCAGCGCTGAAGGCAGCGCCACAGCAGCGTGATGCGCCCGCAACGGAGAGCGGGCGGGCCCGCGGCACCATGCAGCCAGAGGCCGCCTGCCTCACCTCAGCCGCTCCGCAGCCTCCGAAACCTTGAACTTTGCTGCGCGCCACCGCTGCTGCAAGCTGAGCTCCCGCCGCGGCTTGGGCTTGGGCGGCTGCGGCGGCGCCGGCGGCGTGCCCGAGTCTTCCCCCGCTGCCGCTGCTCCCGCAGCCGCCTGTGGCTGTATGGCGAGAAGCTGCCGCTGCCGCGTGCCACTAGGCATCCGCATGCTTCCGCATCCACTGAGCTGGGACCTCCGGCTGCCTGGCTGATGCTGCTGGCGAAGCACTGGGAGCCGCCGTGGGTTGGGCAGCACTGCCGCCACTGCCGCCGTTCGACTCCCGGTGGTGCCAGGCGCCGGGCAGCGCCCGCCAACCGCCATCGCCTGCATGTTCTCGATTACAGGCTCCCTGTGGAGGCGTTGCGCGTGTCAGCTGTGCAGCTAGAGCGGCGATAAGCAGATGCCGGTGATGGGTGGCGAGGACAGGTTCCAAAGGCGTGTCCAGGGCGTTCAGCTCCTCCAATGTGCGACATGCATGTGCCATGGGCATCAAACGGGCGCTGTTTGGCGCACGGATGCTGAGGAAAGGGCAGGAACAGATGATTGGCGCTGGTGGCATGCCCCATCTCCCCCTCCTGACTTCATCCCCATACTCCGGCAGCATCCAGCACACGGTGGGACTGTCCAGGCCCCACCCCCGAGCCCAGCAAGCGCTTGAGCCACACAGTTTGCGCCGGAAGCGCTCCTGCACCCCAGTCAGACATGCAGGCAGCAATGCAGCTCGCTGCCGGGCCTGTGGCATGCCGGTAGGCGCGGGAGAGGGTGCATGCCGTCCCCTGCCCCGTCACCCTGTGTTGGCTCTCGTGGCCCACAGCCAGCCCCCTTCCCTCTTCCTGCTCCCGCAGGCTGCAGCGGCCGATGGCTAAGAGGCTGATCGCGCCCGCTGGCGTGGCTCCACTGGGCGGCAAAGGTGGGCCGCCGCTGCCGCCGGTGTGGTAGGCGAGCGGGCGTGGGCAGCGGGGACCTGCCGCCAGCCGTTCATTGCGCTGCCAGCCGGCCTGGCATCACCACTGCCGCCGCTTAATTCAGCCAGGCTGCTGCTGCTGCTGCTGCACCGCAACTCAACCTGCTGCCTGCCTGCCGCCTGCCTGAAGCACTCAAGCTTGCGCGGCGCCCAGCGGCACGATCGGCCGTGGCGGTGCGCGCCGGCCTGGAGGATGCCCTGGGCGCGGCCGCCGACAGGTGGGTGGGCGAAGGGCTGCATGGTGGTGGTGGCTGAGCTTGGCAGCGGCAAGGATTGGGAGGATGGCACGGGCTGTGCGCTCGCTGGAGGCGCCACATGCTGCCCACTCCTCGACCCCCCTCTCCCTTGCCCGCCCATGCTGCCTGCCCGCCCGCAGCGCCCCGTCTGCCTTCCACAGCCTGGCAGCACACCTCACCACCACGCTGTTCCTGCTGGGCGACGCCGCCGACTCGCTGGCGGACGCGTCTGGCACGGCCGCCGCGGCCGTGGACGCCGCGAGCAATGCGGCGTCGGCCGTTGCCGACGCGGCGCCCGCGGCGGCCGAGGAGGCCGCCAAGAACAGCGGCTTCTTCGGCGCCTTTGCCGGCGCCTTTGAGGCCTTCCTCAAGGTGCTGGACGACGGGCTGGAGAAGGTCGGCGTGCCCTACAGGTGCGCGGCACACGGCTTGAACGGCTGTTTGGTCCTTTGTGGGATGGTGCACTGTGTGTGGGGGGGTGCCTTGCTGCCGTGTGTGGCATCTCATGCTGCCTGCCTACCCCCTTGCCCCGCAGCTATGGCTTTGCCATCATCCTGCTGACCGTGCTTGTCAAGGTGGCCACCTATCCGCTCACCAAGCAACAGGTGAGGCGGGGTTGGGTATGGTGTAGTGTGGTGTATCGTGACGGTTTGGTTTGGTTGTTTCGGTGTGCGGGCGGTGACCTGGCTTCGTTGCACGCCCCGCACTGCCGCAGGTGGAGTCCACGCTGAGCATGCAGGCGATGCAGCCGCGTGTGAAGGAGCTGCAGGCCAAGTACGCCAACGACCCTGAGCGCCTGCAGGTGGGTGGGCAGTCGTTTTGGGGCGTGGGGGCCTGGAGGGGCTGCAGGATGGGAAATTCAGGGGACATAACGTGCTATTTCGGGCAAAAATTTTGGGAAGGTATGCGAAGTTGTCGTGGGGTAGAGGGGATACGGAAATTGAGGTTGGCACAAACCTGTTTCTTTCGATCGCGTTTCACGATCGAAGAGTAAGGCAAGGGTCGTATAGCCCAGTGGTAGAGCGGTCGACTGCAGATCGACAGGTCCCTGGTTCGAACCCGGGTGCGACCTTTTTGCAGCACACTTTTTTTTCTCTCTCTGCCTTAGAATTGGCAGCAACCAAGCAGTGCTGACCACCAATTGGCCAGTGCACAGCTTGCAACACAGTCCTCCGCCCCACTTACTTACTTGTGCAGGTGGAGACGGCGAAGATGTACCAGACCGCCGGCGTCAATCCGCTGGCCGGCTGCCTGCCCTCCCTGGCCACCATCCCCGTCTTCATCGGCCTCTACAAGTGAGCGCGTGGTGACGTTTGGTGCTGGCATCCTCTTTTTGCTTGCAGCCGTGCCGCAATGCAGCACCGCCTCATGCCTGCCGCCGCCTCGCTCCCCGCAGGGCGCTGTCCAACGTGGCCAGCGAGGGCCTGCTGACCGACGGCTTCTTCTGGATCCCCTCGCTGGCGGGGCCCACCACCGTCAACGTGCGCGCGACCTGCCCTGCCCTTGCCGCTCGTTGTTGCATGTCAGGCTCTCGTGCTCAGCAGCATACCCCATCTTCCCATCTGCAGGGCGGCCTGGACTGGCTGTTCAAGTGGCAGGACGGCGCGCCGCTGCTTGGCTACGGCCAGACCGCAGCCTACTTGGTGCTGCCCATCCTGCTGGTGGTCAGCCAGGTGGGCATGCCCGTGGGGTGGGGGAGCAACAGCGCAGCCCGGCCTGGCCTGCTGGCGCGCTGTCGAGAGGGCGCAAGAGGGCAGCCTGGCCTGGTGTTGTCCCACCCGGCGCTGGCCACCTGACGCCCCGCCCCCCTGCCCCGCATCGCCCACCGCCTGCAGGCCATCAGCCAGAAGGTCATCTCCCCGCCCCAGCAGAGCAATGACCCCGCCCAGCAGCAGACCCAGGCCATCCTCAAGTTCCTGCCCCTCATGATCGGTGCGCAGCCTTGGGGGACGCATGTGTGTGTGGGGGGGGGGTGGGAGGGCGAGGGGCACCAGGCAACTCTGCTCTGCTGCGCACGCGCGCACACGCACACGCACATGCACACGCTCGCAACACACATTGCTTGCGCACCGCTGCAGGGTGGTTCTCCCTCAACGTGCCCAGCGGCCTGACCCTGTACTGGTTCACCAACAACCTCATCACCACCGCGCAGCAGCTCTACCTGCGCCGCGGCTTCACGGCGGCGCAGGCGGCGGCCGCAGGGCCCGCCTCCACCGCCATTGTGAATGTGGAGGTGCAGGAGGCGGAGAAGAGGCCCAGCGGTGCGTGCCGCGGTGTGCTGCTGGGTGTCTGTGCTGTGCTGTTTTGTGTGAGGAGGCGCCTGCTGCGCCCGTGTGTGTGCTGGGGGGCATGATGAGATGCGTGCTGCGCTCCCCGCTCCCCAGCCCACAGCCCGGCCGCAGCCCAGCTCACCCGGCTGACCCTGCCCGCTCCCCTCTTGCGTCCTGTGCTCCCCGCAGGCAAGGAGCTGAACGCTCGGCGCAGCGCCAAGCAGCTGGAGGCGCCCGTGGCTGCGCCCAGCGGCGGCGGCGGCGGCGGCGGCGGCGGCGGCAGCCGCGGCGAGAAGTTCCGGGCTATCAAGGCTCGCGAGGCGGTGGCACGCGCGTCAGAGCAGGTGGGCCGGGCTTCCAGGGGGCTCGGGGCCGCAAGCAGGCAGCTGGGAGGGGCGCAGGAGGCACGGGGGGGCTGCTGCCCTGCCACGCACGCTCCGCTGCCCCTGCCCTCGGCCGCGGCCGGCCAGGCGGACGCCCACCCAGCCACCCTCTGTTGTGCGCTGCCCGTTGCACAGGCTGCCTCTGCTGCCGGGGCTGCTGCTGCCGCGCCTGCGGGGCGGCCGGCGCGGGGAGCAAAGTTCCGGGCCATCAAGCAGAAGGAGGCTGCTGCCAAGCAGGCGGCGCAGGTACCGCACGGGAGGCCCGGCGCTGCTGTGCATGCTGTGCGCCCTGGTCATGTCGTGGTTCAGTCACAGCCGAACAGGCGGCACAAGAGACTAGCCTGCCCGCTCCTTTCCTTAGGAGCGGGACGGCTGGTGTTCTGCTGTGTTCCACCCATCCACTCCGCCCCCCCTGCGCTGCTTGCTCATCACCCGCGCCGCCCCTCCGCCGCCTGTCCGCTGCAGGCCGCCCCCGGCAGCAACGGCTCCGCCCCGGCTGCGGCGCCCGCCGCGGCGGCAGCGCAGCCTGAGCACGCGGCTGCCGCGGTGGCGGTAGTGGCGGAGCCAGAGGTGGTGGCTGGCGAGGAGGCGGCGCCGGTGCATGCGCAGGAGGAGGGCGGCGTGGTGGTGGAGGCGGAGGTGTCTGAGCCCGCCACGGTGGAAGCAGCGGCGGCGCAGCAGCCCAAGCAGACCAGCCCAAGCAGCACCCCTAAATCGGGCAAGGGCGGCAAGAAGAAGGGCGGCAAGAAGAAGTGAAGCGGCCCACACGTTGAGTGCCACCAGCCTGCTGACGTGGCGGCCCCAGCGGCCCATTGTTTGCCTTCCAACTCGTGCCATGTGCAGTGTTAGATCGATTCTTATTGCTGCTGCTGTCGGTTTTCCCTCCTGCCCTCCCCCTCGGACAGCACCCGCGCATAAACCGCCCCCCGCTTTCACGTCCAAAGCTCACACCTTCTCCCACACACACTCGCATTGCCGTCCATTTTGATCCTGCGTTTCGTTGATTGCCGTCCTTGCTGCATGCTCATCTGGCAGGAATGCAACACTTCTGGCTTCCGCAAGGCCTGGTGCCAGGCTGCAGAGGGGGGCTGGCCGCTGCTGCAGCTTCCAAGCTGCCCCGTGGCTTCAGCCACCCGTCTCCTGCCTCTGCTACACAGCATCGTGCACACGGATCTTTACAAGGCCACTGAATAACCGGAGGGGAGGCAAAGGGCGCCACAAACTAGCTGCTACGGCAGGGGGGGTACAGTTCATATGCAATGGTAAGGTGCCTTTGAAAACTCTGCTGGCCTTCGTTTGTTGGGGCAAGAAACGGCGGCCGAAGCGGGGGGGCAGGGGCATGGCTGCCGCCCGCCGCCCCGGCGCGGGCCGCCAGCAAAACGGGACAAATCAAATGAAGGGCGGCCCAGGGTCGGGCACATGCGGTATAATAAAAAACGGGAAGGCGGCACCGCCTGTGTGGAGGGGGTGAGGTTGAGAGGGGAGGGGGGGAGGAGCGGTGGGCTCAAGGGAGGGGTTTGCTGCGCCCCCAAGCGGGACGCCCTTGTATTAAGTGCAGGGATCAGGCTGTGGCTGCCCACATGGGCCGTGCATGCTGGGAAGAGGGGCAGGGGTGCAGGCACGCCAGCTGTGGGGCTGCCCCAACGGTTGGTCAGTCTTCTTCTCAAGTACCGGGGTGAGAGGGGTGAGAGGGGTGGGGTAGGAAGGAATCCGCTCGGCAGGAGGGGGTCAGGCAGCGCGAGGGCGGGAAGGGAAGGGAAGGCCCGCGCTGCCTCGCTCGCTAGGCGGCGCCTAGCTGCTGCTGGTGCCATCGCTGCCGCCGGTGCCGGCGGGCTCAATGGTGGCGATGAGGCCGTTGAGGCGCAGTGACTCGCAGTACAGCTCAGCCTTGTCCTGCGGTACAGGTTCATTGAGAGCACACTCGCTGGCGCCGCGTGCGGCCGTGTGCCCATGCGACGCAGGCTGCCCCTCCACAACCGCGGCGCGGCAAGGAAACTAAGGCATCAGTCAAGCAGCAGCAGCAGCAGCAGCAGCGGCAAGCAGCAGCAGCAGGCCAGCTGGGGCCGGGCTGGGGCGGTGGAGGAGGGGAAAAAAACGGAGGCGCAGGCGCCCGCACCTGCGCGCACTGCGTCACCATGGCCAGCCCGTTGATGTGCGCCTCCTGCATGATGTTGACGGCGTCGTCCACGGTGGTCCCCTCCACCACCTTCATCAGCACCTGCACCACCGGAGGAAGGACAAGCAGCCCAAGCCAATGAACAACAGTGCAGGGCAAACTGGACCCTGTTCGGAACCCCAATTTCCCACGTCGCCCGCCTGGGCAGCCACGCGGCCGGCTCCTCACCTGCACCACATACTCGCGCCGGTTGTAGTTGTCGTTGTGCAGCAGCACGCGGTAGGAGGGAGGGCGCCGACGCCGCGTCTCGCGCCTGCGGCCACGGCAGGGGCGGCGCAGCAGTCGGCGTGGAGTGATGCTGTGCTCAGCTTGGCTCTGGGCTCAGGAAGACTGCCAGGTGACCCATTCATATCATGCAGGGCTACCAGGACCCCCACGCAATGCCATGGACTCCCACCAAATGCGGCAGGATCCCGAAAAGAGCACCGGCGGCGGCAGTCGCGCACCCCCGCTGTTGGCCCGGCAGCACGCCAGGGCGGTCCAGCACGCCGCCGCCTTTGCCCGCGCTCCTGGCTGCCACGTGCAGCCGAGCGCGACGCTGGGCGCTGCGCCTGGTGGCCCCAGCAGGCACGAGCCACGCCCCTGCAAGGCTCAGGCATTGGCGGGGGGAGTGGGCGTCGGCAGCTCGTTGCGGGCAGCAGCCCACCCAGCAGCCTCCACAACTTGCTGCAAGCAATCCTGCAGCCTCGAGAGCGGGAGCTGCAGGCTGTGCTGACGGGCAGCCCACCTCGCGTCGGAGGCTTGTCTCCCGCCTTCCCCGCCACAGCCTGCAGCAAGAGCAGCCAGCGGTGTATGTTCGTCAAGCCCCGGGCGGTGCTGCGCCAGGGCTTGGCCCCTTCCCCGCAAGCCGCACCTGGCCACCCAGCCGCTGCCCCACGCAGATAGTCATCCCGTTGTGACTGCAACTGAAGGTACTGACAGCACACGCGCCGAGCGGCATTGCAGGGAGGGGACTGGCGGAGGTGAAGAGGGGCGATGAGGCGGTGCCGTCATGAGCTGGCGCTGCATGGAAGTACTGGCTGCATGCCCATCCAGCTCTCCTGGCTACATGCCCATCCAGCTGCGTGTGGTGGCAGGTATCCCAAGGCCGAGTGATGTACAGGCGCTGCCCAACAGGCACGGCGGGGCAGGCAGGTGCTAGCGTCGGGGCAGCGGCAAACGTGCCACGCCACCTGGACAGATGGCCCGCAACAGTTTGCCTGGGGCGACTGGAATCTCAGGCATTACAACGGAATAAAATGCAGGGGAGTACATGGCATGGCAGTAGAGAGAGCGGTAGGTCGTAGCAACTGGTAGCGACAGATGAAGAATGGGGATCGGTCGGTCAATTGGGCCTTGTGTGGCCATGCAAGAGTACAAACAGCTACATCAAGAAAGGCGTACGAGGGGTCAAAATGACAGATGGGCATCAAAATCCGAGTGAGGGCAGGAGTGACGGTGGTTGATGCGGTCGGCACGGGAAAACTGAGCGCAGCAACGCCCTGGGTGGCACCGAGATGGAACACAGGGCAGCTATGGCACGGGCAGCCCCTGAAGGCCGAGCTCGCAAAGGGTAAGAGCGCCAGCATCAGGTGCGCTGCCGGCTGCGGGCCCTGCCACCTGCACCAGCAGCCGGTCTGTGAGCAGCGGCTCCCCCGCGCACACCGCCGTGACGGGCTGCCACGGCCGCAGCGCGACGGCTGGCTGGCACACGGGCGCGGCGGCCCAGGTGGCCGCAAAGCGGCCCTGCACGGCAGAGCCTGGGACGGCCGCGATGGTGACGTTGTCAGGCCACAGGCCGCCAGCAACAAGCTGCACCGCGTGGAGCCTGCAGCGCGGCAGCAGGGGTGGGAAGCCAGGGGCCGGGAGAAGGTGGAGGTAAGCGTGGCGGATGAAGCGGAGAGCCGAGCCACAAGCTGGCCAGAGGTCGGGCAGTGCCCCAGGTGCGGCAGCAGGGCGGCTGAGGGCCAGGCGCGCTGCCTGCGGCCCAAGCCAGTCAGCTTACTTGTACGTGCGGTCCAGCACCACAACTATGGACCCCGCCTGCGGCCCCCTGCCGCTGCTGGCCACCGCGGCTGGCGGCGCGGTCAGGCAGGTGTGATAGCTGCCGTCGAAGAGCGCAGAGGCGCCGCTGGCCGGGGAGCCAGAGGCGGCGGCGCCATCCAGCAGCACCTGCCACGCCATCGCCCCGCCGCCGCTGCCGCCGCCGTCTGCACCGCTGGGGCGCGGCTGCAGCAGGTAGCTGGTGGCCGCCTGGGTGGAGGCAGCCAGCAGCTGCGCCTCGCACAGCTGCGTAAAGCCCTGGACCCGCACCGCCGCCGCGTGCGTGCCCAGGGGCAGCTCAATCACGGACGCGGCGACGGCTGGCAGGCCGCCGGGGGCGGCACTGCCAGAAGGGGGCACAGGCAGCAGCCGGTGGGCCACCACTCTGCCGCCAGCGTCCAGCAGGCTGACTGCCATGCTGGCATTTGGCGCCGCCGCGGCCTGCACCCGCACAGCCAGCAGCGGGTAGCTGCCATCCAGCTGCAGCTGCCAGCTGCTGCCGGTACCGCCGTCGGTGCCGCTGGTGCTGTTGGCGCCTGCTGCCGGCACCTCCAAGCAGCTGCTGCTGTCGCCGTTGATCGGCAGGGTGAAGTGGGGCTGCAGGGCCGGCGGCGAGACCAGCAGGGCTGCCGGCCGCGCCATGTGCGGACCGGGCGCCAGCTCAACGGCCCCCAGCACCTCCACACCACACAGCGACAGCGGCGCGGGGCGCGCCTGGCCCGCCGCAACGACGGTGATGTACCGCCCTGCAAGCGGCGTGCACACACAGGGCGGCAGGGAGTGATCGGCAGCAGCATGGCGGGCGGCAGGTGAAGAGACAGAGCAGGGGGCAGAGGACCAGACCAGCCAGCTCAGCCTCAGGGGCGCACCTTGCAGGAAGCCGACCGCGCAGCCAATCTCCACAGGCCGGCCGCCCAGCACTGGCACTGCGGCCGCACACAGGCTGCTGCTGTTGTCGGCGGGCGGGGCCACGGGTGGAAGGTCCCCCACATGCACTGTGAGGCTGACGGCCGGTGCTGGCTGGCACACACCACCTGTGCTGCCGCTGCCGGCGCTGCTGGCCTGGCAGGAAAACGGCACAGACAGGCGCAGGCCTCGCACCCACGCGCCATCCAGGCCTGTGTCGAGCGTCCTGCGGAGACACCCAGCCAAAAAGCAGCACAGCTCATGATGCTGCTGTGACGTCCAATCATTGGCCAATCACCCGCCCAACCAACATGCCATGCAGCATCAGCAGCCGCAGCCGACTCACCACCACGGCGCCGCCTCAGCGCCCGTGCGGCTGCACTGGGGGCCGCCCCCACGGTCAGCCTGGGCAGGCTGCCTGGCCAGCGCCAGCACTGCTGCTGCTGCGGTGGTCGACTGACTGGCTTCCATGGCAGAAGCATTGAGCAGCGCGGCAGGCAGCGGCTGCCAGCCGTCGCTGCCGCTGCTGCCACTGCCGCTTGCCAGGACTGCCACGGCAGGCACGGCTGCCGTCAGCGGCTGCACCTCACACAGACAGACGGGCCGCTGGGCCAGCCGCCGCCGCAGCGCCGCCGCGCCGCCGGGGGCCAGCACCTCCACCGACACAAAGCGCCCCGCCACGCCCGCCGCGCACCGCACCTCCAGCAGCGGCTGCCCCTGCTGCAGCGGCACGCGGGCGTTGCTGCCGGGTGCGCAGCGCTGGTTCCGCCGGTGCTCCAGGCTGTCCCCCACCCTCAGCTCCAGCTCCACCTCCGCCTCCACCTCGCCTGGCGGCCCACCCGCTACGGCCTCCGGCCCCGGCGCTGCCGACGGTCCCGCCGCGCTCGGCCCCGCTGCATAGCCCGCGCCGTCGCCGTCGCCCAGCGCAGCCGGCAGCAGCAGCCGCACCGCCTCAACCGGGTAGCTGGCATTCAGCTGGGCGGCCCAGAAGGCGCGCCCCTCCGCATCCGGCGCCAGGCAGGCGCAGCCGGCCGCCGCCGCCGACAGCTGGCCGTCCGCCGCCAGCGCCGCCGCCTGCCAGGGGCCTGCGGCCTGGGAGGCGGGCGGCGGGGCCGACTGCCAGGCCGTCTGGATCGCCAACGCGCGCTGCGGCTGCGGGGCGGCCGAGGCTGCCTCCAGCAGGCGGGGGCGGTACGCTCTCAGCATGGCCTGCATGCGTACCGCCTGCCCCGCGGTGAAGTGGGACCTGCACGGCGGCAGGCGGGGCAGCAGGCCGCCAGGCCGTCGCTCAAGGGCCACTCGATCCGCTGTGCTCTGCTGTGCTGTGCTGCCGGTGCAAGCAGTGCTGCCGGCGCAAGCCACGGGCGGCCAGGCAGGCGGCGGGCGGTGGGCGTGCGGGGCAGGCAGGCCCGCCGCACCTGCACGTGTCGTTGGTGAGATCCATGAAGTTGGAGGCAGGCAGGGCGCCGTCCCCCGACTCGGGGCACACGTGCATGTCGCTGCCTGCAGGCGCGCGGGTGGGGTGGGGTGAGCTTGAGAGGCAGGGCTGGGTGGGCATGCAGGCAGCCAGAGGCACGAGGCACCCTGCTGCGGGCTGCCTGCCTGCATGCTGCTGCCACCGCTGCAGCCGCTGCTGAGGGAGAGAAGCGGAGCCTGCCACGGCCGCCGGCAGGCGCACCCAGGTCGCAGCCGCGGTTGGCGGCGTGCTGCAGCGGTGTGTCGGCCACGCCGTCGGCATCGGCATTGCAGGTCTGCCGCTCGTCGGGGAAGGGGTGTGCCAGGCCCAAAAAGTGGCCCACCTGCAGCGGCAGCGACCGCCGCAGGACGCTCCTTGCCCAAATCCGGCGCCGCCGGCTACGGCAGAGAAAGGAAGCAGGCAGCTGCCGGGCTCCCATTCATGAACGCAGTGCCAGGCAGGCGGGCCGGTAGCACCAGGGGCCGCCCCACCTGATGCACCAGGCTGGTGCGCGACTGCCACAGTGCGCCGCGGCTCAGCAGAATGACGCCGCCAGCGGCGCTGCCGTTGGGGGGCGCTGCGCCCAGCACCTGCGCCGCACCCTGCGCCCCCTCAGGCTCACACACCACCACATGGATGGCTGGCGGGTCGGCCGCGCCGCCGCCGCTGCCGCTGCTGCTGCTGCTGCCGCCGCCGCCGCCGCTCCCGCCGCCGGCGCCGGCGTCCCGCGGCAGCAGCTGCTGCGCCAGCTGCTCCCAGTGCGAGGAGCAGTGCAGCACGGCGTCGTCGGTGGCGGGGGCTGCCACCACGAAGTCCAGCCGGAACGTCATGCCCAGCCCGGCGAATGCGGCGTTCAGGGTATCCACCTGCGCACAGCAACCGCAAGGCAGCCAGGCAGTGATCCGGGCAGCCGCAGCAGCTATGCATCCACTGGGCGTGGAGGAGGTGCGCTGGGCCCGCGGGCGAGCGGCGGCAGGGCAGGGCGGGGAGGCGGAGCGGAGCCGGCACCCACCTGGGCTGCTGCCGCCGCTTCAAACTCGGGCGCCCAGGGGCGGGCGCCGCTGACCAGCACCCAGAACACGGTGCCGAAGAGCAGCGGGGGCAGCTGCTGCACCGCCTGCTGCAGCTGGTCGGGCGGGGAGGCTGCAGCGAGGGCGCCAAACAGCTGCGCCTCGGCTGCCGCGGCCGCCTGCAGGTACGCGTCTCGGTCGGGCAGTACAGCCCGGCAATCCGCCAGCTCCCCATCCCGCTGCTCCGGCGGCAGCGCATCCAGGGGCACGCCCTCCTCGTTCAGGCCAGAGGCTGCGGTGCTGGTCGGCTGCTGTGGCGGCGGCGGCGACGGCGGCGACGCCGAGTCGAGAGCCAGCGGCGTGGCCACCAGCGCAGCACCCACAGCCAGGAGGGCCAGACCCAGGGCCAGCAGCGCGCTGGGCTGGGAGAGCCATGCCTGCAGCAATGGGCACAGCTCGCTGAAACGGGAAGGGCCGGGGAGAGGAGTGGCCAGACACGCGGCGCGCCTGCCCCCGCCTCCCTGCCTCATGGGAGCTTTTCCCCGCCGGCGCAGGCCCCGCCCGGCCACCCCCGCAGCCAGCGTAGCCGCCTCTCCTCCTGCACACACTTTCCCCTTCCCAATTCCGTTCCCCAATCCCATTATCAGGAACGCATCCCTCGCGCCCCGTGCGCGGCGGGTCCGCCGCGGCGCGGCCATACACCGCGCCCCCGCGCCCCCGCTCCCCCCCAGCCCAACCCCCACTGCGTGCACCCCTTTCGCCAACGAATGCGGGTGCGGCTGGGCTGCCAACGAATGAACGCTCACACAGTACTTGCCGGTTTTGCCTGGTGATGCCTACCCAGATCCCC